ACACGGCAGGACCCTCCTGAAAAATTCGCGTTGAGCCTCGGCGACGCGTACAAGCGAGCGTTGTAACGGCGGTGGCAGCGGCGATGATGACGACGATGATACCTCGAGGCCGTTCAGCGTAGTGGTGGTGGCGGCGGCGAGTGTGCTTACCGCCAGGACCGGTTCGCTCAACCTTGACCCACTCCTCCTCATCCTCGATGCTTCGGTGCCAAATTTTTACAAAGCACACCAACTGCTGTAGAGTGGACGTTCAAAGGCACTTTGCCGTCCTGCGTGAGAGCACGTCGTTTTTAGTTTTTAGTTTTATTGTCCTTCCCCCGCGCCCTCCGATTAACACGGTGGGCTACGTGCAGCGCGGAAGCAGTTCGATGTACACACGTGCGTTGTGTGCCAGTGTCCAAATTGTATATTTGCAAGTATACCACCACTTGGCTGTTGGTGCAGGGCTCCATTGCAAAAGAGATGGCGAATCTTTAATTTAGTAGCGGTGGAGCGGTTTGCGCAGCGGTTCGAGCTCCGTGCTCCAAACACGGCTGCCTCGGTTCGATTCACGGTCGGCATCAGCGGCGGGTGGCATGTCGACTGGGACTACGCCGGCCCCTTGCGCCAACTTACACTGACCAGCGTGGTGAAGTATGGTCCAAATGACCGCCGTGACCAGCACGGCCTGTGGAGGCATTCATCCAGCTGTGGATCGATAAAGACCTGTAAGTAAATACAATATAAAAACAAACAAACATAACGGGGACGCCGGAATGGTACTGCAGGGTTTCTGTGCTAGAATATACCCTTGAAACGGCGCGTCGTTTTGTTACGGCCGCTGCCGGGCCTGGGACGTTCCTCCGAACCCCTCTTAACGGAACCGCCGCAGCGATTACACCGCCGGCCGCAGAGGGGCCTGCCGGAGTCTGCCTGCTTCCACGGCACGCCCGCGCTCCCTTTGTCCACAGTTCCCCTCGTCGCCGGCGAGGACCCTTAGTGGAGCGTTCCCCCATCCTCGCCGGGGAACGACCGCCGTGTGCTTGTCGCCGCCGTCGCTCCCTCGACCGTACGCCGTGCCGCGTTTCTATTCCCGGTGGCCGGTTCATTTTGCCGCCGCTTAAGTTTTTTTGCACGGACAAATAGGGAGAGCCGGGGCCCGCGCCCGGCTGCCTGCGCTGCTGGCACGGATGGCGTGGCCGCTAAATATAAGCGATGCCTTCACCCCGTGAAGCAGAATGAGCTGCGTGCGTGCGTGTGTGTGCGTGTGTGAGCGCGTGCGTGTGTGTGCGTGTGTGAGCGCGTGCGTGCGTGCATGTGTGTGTGTGTGCGTGTGTGAGCGTGTGTGCGTGTGTGAGCGCGTGCGTGTGTGCGTGTGTGAGCGCGTGTGTGAGCGCGTGTGTGAGCGCATGCGTGTGTGCGTGCGTGTGTGAGCGCATGCGTGTGTGCGTGTGTGTGTGAGCGCGTGCGTGCGTGTGTGAGCGTGTGTGCGTGTCTGAGCGTGCGTGCGTGTGCGAGCGTGCGTGCGTGTGCGAGCGTGTGTGCGTGTGCGAGCGTGTGCGAGCGTGTGTGCATTCCCGCTTGGCACTTGAGAGCGCCGCGGCAAATCTTTCACGTGGCATCCTGGCTGCTCCTCGAAAGCCTGCGGGCGTGTGCGACGATGATGCTGTAGCTGCTGCTGGCAGGCGGCGCAGCAGCTATATTGAGTGTGTAGGCGCTGCAATTGCTCTGGGATTCACGGGCCAACGGAGGTGCCAGGCGACGCTGGGGGGAGGATGGTGAATAGGTGAGGGGGAATAACATCTCATTACTTACACCCAACAGGGCCCAGGCCAACCACGATAGTTTGCTGGGTGTCAGCCACTGCTGGTTTTAGCTTCCTGTATGTGCCTTTGGCTCTTGGGTGCGTGGTTCAATAGTTACAACCGCCTCCACCACGACCACCGTAATCTGTTCCTTTGCCATCGCAAACACAGATGGTCTCTGCTTTGCTTAGAGAAGCCCAGTCAGCCAAAATATTGAGATTGCTCTTTGTCTTATCCCCTTTTCATATTTGTCACTCTAATCGGACAAATAAATAAGTGGCAAGGCCCGAGTGCTTGAGGGAAAGTTGTTGTTTTGAAATCCTCTCGGCGTTTGGCTTTAGACCATCATACCACTGTGAGGAGTCACCAGTTGTTGGCTCACGGATGCCTGTGGAGGTTACCAGCACCTCATGCTCGTTAAATCAAAGCCATTTTTGATTGGGCTACTTTACTGTCATCATCATCGTGGTCATCAGTGTGTTGTGGACAACGTGCTAACAGGCCAGGCGTGCGGCCATATCAAAATAATTTAAAAACATGTTGAATACAATTGTGGTTGGTTACCGTTATCGCCATCATCATCATCGGCCACGATTAATCCACCGCTGGATGAAGGCCTCTTCAAGCCATCGCCACCTCTTGTGGCTCCTGCGAAGTAATAATCCGTCTGGCGCTTATAATCTTTGTTTTTTTCGGTAAAGTCGCGTAGATAAAACTAAATCAAAATAAAAGAAAACAACTCAATCAAATCACGACGTTTCGGAGGCAACACAAGCTTCCGTCTTCAGGTGGAACAGTCACAGCAAGATCGCTGCATCAAGTGGGGAGGCTCTGAGAGCCTCGAGCTTATATACAGGTTAAGGTGGGGGGGGGGGGAGGAGCCAAGCAGGGAGCAACGACGAGGCCAAGTTAATCCGTCTTTTGTTATGTTGAGGGTTCGGGGGAAGCGGTGCTTCACTGCACGGGGGTAATGAAAAATGGTTTAAAAAAAGGCTGTGCGCTTACAAGGTAGCTGAAGTTTTGACTTGCTTTGGCGCTTATTCGAAAGCCGGCTTTACCGCTCCATCTCCCCACGGCGGCCGTCCTCTCGGGCGCTTTCCCTTCCTTTGGCTGAGATAGGATCGGCCCAAATGTTGCTCCTCTGGCAGGTGCCCCCTGGCTCATGTTCCCTCGATCCCGTGCGATGGGCATCCAGCCCGCTGGTCACCTCCTCGCAAAGCCGCGCCCCACGCCGGAGCCCTCGAGCCCCGTGACTCTCGGTCGGACCGTCGAGGGGCGTTTCTCTCGCTGGCGTGGCACGGCACAGCAAGCGGGCACGACGGTCGTTCCATCGCCAGCCACGAACGCCGTCGGTGACGAACGACGCCCTAACCTGTCCTGCACTCCCCGCCCCCACCCCCCCCCCCCAATATTCCCCCTTTTTTGCCGAGCCGCACAAACGCTCGAACAACCCCCACAATCGACACGGGATGGGGGGGGGGGGGGGGGGGGGGGGGAGGCCTTTGTCCAGCAAAAGGGCATTGCCTTTATTTATTGATAATTTATTACCATTGTTACGGACACGGATGTAAAACGAACGGGGCGAGCGGTAGCCACCACGGTCGCTCCGTGTTGTGTGGACGGTGGGGGAGGGGGCGTTACCCCTGTAGGCGTCGCGTGGCGCGCGTGCGGATGAAGAAGCGGCGTTTAACAACTCCTTAAAGCGGTAAAGTCGTCGCGCAGACCTAGAAAATTCGCTTCCTAAATGCCACCGGACGGTTGACCAAGTACGAGGCGCTGTAAAACAGCCGCAGGTGACCCTTGACACGGCACTGGAATCGCATCCTAAGATCCACGCGACGGTCGCATCGCAGAAAGTCCCCCCCCCCCCCCCCCCCCCCCCTAGATTTTTGGATAGTTGCCCTTCGCGAAATGTTGTCACGAGGAAGAACCCAGAGAGTCGTCCGCATCTCTCGACAAACATTCACAAAATTGGCAACACCGGTCAGCATGCCAGACGGCGTGTGCGACCGTTGAGCCTGTCGCAATTAGACGTAGCTTTTGAATTAGTCTTCAGTATCCCGTCGCACGGATTGAATTCTGAAGCGTTCCACTGGCTTCAAGAATAATAGATGGTTAAATAAAAAACAAAGTGAGAACCTTCCGTGCGCATTTTATCCGCCCGTGGAAAAATCGACAGAGCAACGCGCTTTTAAAAGCGCATCGATAGCGGTGTCTTGAGCGGTCGGCTCTTTCCGCCGCGGCGCACCCGGGGCGACGACCTCAAGTTACCCCCCGGCTCTGCGCCGCTTCGGTCCCAAACGCTGGCGTGCTGTGGCATCGATCAGGCGTCGTGGTTGGTAAGTAATCGCCGCTGGCGGTGGCATTTTCAAAAAGCGCCGCCACCGCACGTAATCGGCGTGAAGCCGGTAGACTGCCAACATCGGGGCTCCACTGCCTGCAACTTTGAAGCTCTGGATTTCTCAGTGTTTCCAGGTTTAGGAGAACAGGACTGGTGAGTGAGGTGTAAGGGATGTGATAACTTTTTACGAAGTAAAATGGACAAGATAAAAAAAAATGGATTCCCGTTCAAATATGCAAACCTGGCTTCTCCGCCTGATGAAGCTAGTTGTAATTGCTGGCAAAACGTCGTACTCAGATTGTCAATGTTGTAGATTTGCTCTCCAACACACCGCTGTGCTGTACTAGTAACGAATTGGCATCTTCTGTTTACGCGACAAACCTTACTAGTTGTCTGTGTCGTGGGGTGGCGGGTTTAACGACACATTTATATTTACGCGATCGAACCCAAAAAACCTCTTTTGGATGCGTTGGAGGGTTGCTCGTTTAGCTGTTTACGAGCAGGAGCCAGTGGTGGAAATTCCACATTCTTATGGCAGCGCCAAGCCCATGTGCAGTACAATCTGCCAATAAAGTGGTTCTCATTTAATTGCCTTGGATACAAACTTGCATATTTTTAGGCGTGAGCCACACATTCTGAGCAGTGTGCACGTCGGCAGCGTGGAATCTTCACCGTGTTTGATCTGATATTGTAAATAAATAAATATATATTTCGCTTTGTCAGAAACATCCTAATTCACCATTCGTTGTTTTCTCTGCGTCCATGGTGGTCACTCAATGAACCCGAACAATCAGCACGGAACGTGACACAGTCAACAACAACAACAAAAACCTTCCAATTTACCATTCCGTGTCTCTCTCTCTCTCTCTCAACAGGGACGCCTTTCGTAACGATCAGCGCAAGTTGACGGAGCCGCCGGGAGCCTTGTCCGATCATCTTCGGCTTGAAACTCGCTTGGAGAGACGGACAACGAGACCGTTGTTGAAAAGGGCCCGGCCTTGTACCGTGCTTGCGACCGACGAGGGGAGCGTCTCACGAACGACGCCGACGCGCTTGAAACCGAAATGGAGAAAGGTCCCGTGGAGCTGAGGATGGTGACTCCCATTCCCGACGGAACGGGAAGTTTGAACGGCTTTGCGGACGCCTCCCGGAGCCAGTACGAGGGGTACGTACGCGCCGGCGGTGGCGGCTCTTGACGGTGGCCGTCCCCCGCGCTGGTTCTTTTGTCGACGCTGAATTAATCTTGTGACGCTGGCTTGCAAACGCCGCCTGCGACGGCAACATTGGCGGTTTGCGAATAAGATATACGATGCCGTTCAATATGAATCATATTTAATGTACTGCAGACGTACGCCGTAGTTAGTTGCCTACTGTTATTAGCGCCACCCTAATTGCGGAGAAGAGATTCACTCGGAGGTCTTCTTTGAAACGAGGGGCTTGTTGCTCCAAGTGGATTTTCACCACAGCTCTTGTGCCAAGCAAGGGGGGCACTTTGAAGCCACGTGAAGTTTAGAAAGGCTCACGGGCAAGAGGTCACGGGACAGACCCGGATATTGTTGTTGAAATTAATAGTATAAATCCTGCCTCGCGATTGGCTGACAGCGGCGCCTATCGAAATTTCCTTGCAATCGAAGGCAACCTGCGATTGAACCGGTGAATTCCCACCAGTGAATTCCCACCGGTGAATTCCCACCGGTGAATTCCCACCGGTGAATCACCACCGGTGAATTCTCACCGGTGAATTCCCACCGGGAGAACCTCTACAGTAACCAAGGTAGTCCACCAGGGCAGCGTTGGTATGAACTGTGAAGACTACGACAATTATAAACCGTCACGTGTCAAATGTAAAGACGCGTCCATGCCTGTCGACCCATACGCTCCACCCGTGTTCTTGTACAGGGGAAATTGAGTTTTCAGGCCCATACGGCATACAGCCGTTTCAGTACGGGCAAAAACAAAACAAAAGTTTATATTTGTGTTGCTCCCTTGTGATGAGACGTTGTAGGATGAACGTTGAGATTTAGAAGGGCACGGGGTGACCCATAAGGTCAGAATTGGTTTGTAATAAGGTGGGCACTGAGAAGGGGGGTTGACAGGTATACGTATCATTTGTTCTGTTAATTGCCTCTTAAGGGCATGTGCACAGTACTGCGCAGTGCATTTTCAGCCTGACACCGCTGTTATCGACGGCGATGGTGGTGTTGATGATGATGATGATTTTCGTGAACACTTTCCAACCGAGATTGAAGGCGTTCATGCATTACCTCCATCCCTCCTGAACTGGGATGGGGGGGGGGGCGTGCTATAACCCTCGTGAAGATGGCACAAGATTAGCAAACCCATAGTATAAAGTTGTGTTGCTCATAGGGATGCACTTGATTGAGTCAAAACCGGCCATTGTGATCCCAGCATTTGCCTAAAACTTGGAGACACGGACCAGAGCAGTAGGAATTATTTGCAACTATGGCTCCGAATATTTCCCTGACAGATACCCGCTGGCTTCCATGCCCCTGATTAAATAGCTCAATTATGTATTTTCCAAAGGTTAACACTTTTGCAGCTGCGGTTGAAAACGCTTATGCTGTTGCTCCGGTTATGACTTTTTCTCTGGTGACGCGGGAGGCGCAGATAACCCAGCGGATCGTTAAAAAACAAACCGCAGGGTCCATTGCCTGCTCGGATCGTCACGAAGCAAAAGTCGCCAGCCAGTTTCTCCAGGGACAATGTACACAGCCAAACGGGTACAACTCTACTTTTAAAGGGTAGGGTTATACCAATCAGTGGCTCAGGCGGGCTAAACAGCGCAGCGTCGACCCGAGTTCGATTCCCGGTCACGGTTAACATCGGTGGCAAGAGATGTCTGAACAGGTCCCGAATAAGTGAATAACCCCCCACCCCTTCGCCAAACCCACAGTGACCGACGTGGTGAAGTATAGCCAGACAAACCTCCATATATATTTCATTCAACAATTGCAAATCACTCGAACTGCGTTTACATTTGCACTGCAATGACATATCAATGATTGCCCCCCCCCCCCAACTCACCCTTGCCAACATGATTTGTTTGAACCGGGGTCTTGTGTGCGTTACAGGACTAATGGGGACGTTGAGGAGACGGAACGTTTTTTGCCAGACGGTCAGGTGAACAAGCCGGGGAAACAGTTCACAGATGTGAGACCCGCACGCACAAGCACGCACAAGCACGCACAAGCACGCACAAGCACGCACGCGCGTGTGTGAACACGCGAGCATACATAAGTACGCAGACGAGCACACATACGCACGCGAGCGCACACACACACGCACGCGAGCACGCACGCGAATGCCCGGATCCATGGCTCATGGATCAGAGCACTGGACCAGCACGGATGAGATGCAACATTCGAATCTGGGTATCGGCCACTTTTTTGCCTGGTCAAAAGTGACTAAACATAACGAAAATCCATAATTTCAGGTAGGATAAATTACTCCTGTGAGATTAAACGATATCATATATTGGTTTGACTGCCATGCAACGAAGATCAATAGGACATCATGTTTCCCCGGGTAATGCAGCACCCCTAAGTGTGGATAAGAAGTCACTTTGTTGGGATTTCAGAGGTAGCTCTGTGATATCCGCTTCCGCGGGCCGTTCTTCAATATGCGACGATGCATGACTCTGCAAGAGCTATCGTCCCGTGGCTTGGAAACTGAACGCACGCAAGACAAAGACAATAAAATACGAAGCTGCATTCGGGTCAATTTGACCTTCTGGCACCGTGGTTCGGGCAAAGTCACTTGCATTTGGAATGTCGCAAATTCAAATTCATACTTAAGGGATTTGACGCCCTTAAACATTTCTCCCAGTGGGGTGCGTAAAGTTGGTACCCACTTTGTGGGAAGTCGACAGTGCTCTTGTGAGCGGACTCGCCACCACCATGGGAATGTGGAATTTCCACCATTGGCACGGTGCCACCAACAGAGCTGAATATGATCCCCGCTGCTCACTTGAGGAGGGGGAGACACCTCGACTTGATTAAAGTAAAGTTACCAAACGGCTCGGGTTTGGCCAATGCAGGCCGCTACCGGCGTCCCCTGAAGCATTTACAAAAATCGGGATTTTTGTCGCCAGTTTGAATCTTTTCTCCGGCCTCACGTTCAGCTCGCGATGAACGTGCAATATGGGCCAGGCCTCCTGGGCTGGTGGCCAGGGGTTTGGCAGTGGGCATTGGGGGCCCGTGTACAAGATTTGGGGGGGGGGGTTTCTGCACATCGGCACCGGTGCGCTCACGATTTTGCTTCTCCGCCGGCAGCACGAGGGCAAGGCGTCGTTCGGCATGTCGGTGTTCAACCTCGGCAACGCCATCATGGGCAGCGGCATCCTAGGCCTCGCCTACGCCATGGCCAACACGGGCATCGTCCTCTTTGTGTGAGTAGCCGGACGTGCGATGGTTCGCCCCCACCAGCCCCACCTCCCCCCACCCCCCCCCCCCACGATGGATTTCCGCACCACCGATTAGCACGGTTGGCTACGTACGGTGCGAAAGAAGTTCAACATATGTGCGTGCGTAATGATGTGTACGCACCGCTCCAGGTGCATTACTCGCTAATGACTTCATTGGGAAAGAGCCACATAGCAACGTTGCCCTCATACTGGCAGACTCATGCAGGACGCTGCGACGTACACCTTGTTGCTGCACAGGGACGGCTGCCGGGTGGAGGGGGGGGTTCCCCTAGGCTAGACTGCAATAGAGAAGTTAACTTGCTTGAGATGAGGTGCGATGTGAGGTGCCTTTTGAGATGTTGAGGCATTTAAGTGCCACTATAAATTGTAAAGAGTTCAATGAGAATAGGACGTGTATAAACGCTCATTGTTTGCCTGAACACATCTTAATATGTAAAGGACCACAGAGCTTTGGGCAATTGTTTATAGGGCAGGCTCCGGCTTGCCGCGTGGCTTCCTGCTTATCTGTGGTTCCTCGGTGCATGTGAGATGCGAGTTTAATGAATGACAACATTGATGAAAAATAAGAATAGGTTTTACCCTTTCTGCAAAATGAAACAGATGCATTAACCACACATACTTGTAGCAAAACAAGCAAAACAAACACTCTTACAACACACGGTGCTTAAAAATGTTTTGAACACTTACATGGGACTATCGTTTTTAATGGGAAAAGAACGGATAATGCACTGTAACATGATAGCAAATGTAATCTTAACAGCTCCAAAAAGTCAAAGAGTCTCCACTTGTTGGCCATCGTTGTCAACACGTGGCCTGAATCTTCTCCAGGTGGTCTCCAGAGCCCGGAGGCAGCAGCACGTGTCACGTGGTGTTCTCGCAAATTCTTAGAAGTGTTAACATTTGTTTGAAGCACCCTGTATATATGCATCGTCTTTAAAACTGATTGGCCTACACCAGAGACAGCCTTCTCTCTGTGTCCTTGTCTCACCGCCAGTGTCAGACCAGAGAACGCCAAAAGGTGAATCTTACATGAGACGAAACGTTATTATGATCGCAGTTTTTTTTGCCTTGTGTTTTAGCCGTCTCGTTTGTGGTGGTTGTTTCTCACTTGTTCTGTCTCGTCATGTCATCGTTTTATATTCTCCATTAGCCTAAATGGTGCAGTGTTTCACATCCTGCACTCTGAACCCGACGACCTCAGTTCGATTCCCGGCCACGGCCAACATCATTGGCGAGTGATATCTGAACCAACCCCTTCACCAACCCACACTGACCAGCGTGGTGAAGTTTAGTCAAACAGCCCTCCATTCATATTGCGTCCAACCACCACAATTCAAATCGAAACGCTTCTCTCTCTGCCTCTCTCCACGCTCTGCTCCACTTGGGAATTCCCTCCCGGCGTCTCCTCTTTTCCCAAATTCTTACGATAACCTCGCTCGATTTCGACAAACGTACTCGCTTTTATCGAGTGCACCTCCATCAGTGCTGTTTGTTGCTGGCCGCTTGGCATTTTTGGGGCCCTTTTGTGTGCTCAGCAACTGTGAGAAAATTTAAAAAGCCCACGTTAAATCTTGACTTAAAGCTTTCGTGACTGCAGGAATTCATATTCTTTGAGTCTTTCGGTAAAGTCAACGTAGATAGGTTATTTTCTTTGAACCTATCCACGTGACTTTACCGAAAGACCCAAATAATATTAAAAAAAAAAATCCTACGCGTCAAACTAAAAAAAAGACACTCAACTTTGCTTGGACCAAAGCAAAAAAGCAATCTCAGGCTCTGCCTCTCAGGCCAGCATAAACGTGCTGACGAACGAGGCCTCTCTCCTTCCTTTCTGTCTTATTTGAGCTTCCTATTTTAATTCCTCCCCCCCCCTCCCCCCATGCCTGCCCTTCCCACTCCTGTCCCTTAGAGGGGATTAATCTGCATGGCTCGCGGCTTCTCTAGAAGGTTCTGTCTGCACACTGCATATGCTAATTCCTGTGGCGAGGGAGGCGGAACCTTTGCCAAGGGTAACCGACAAATCCGCGTGACCCCCCCCCCTGCCGCCCCGCCCCCCCCCCACCACCACCCAACCCTGCGTGCAGTGCGCCGTGTGTGTGCGGATGAGATGGGTTCAGTGTTGCGCGTGCGCATATACGCGTGCACACAGCAACAGCAGCGGCGGCTGCTGCTGCCACGCACCACAATCTCGCCGCGGCTCTCGTGCCAGGCTAGGTGCGCTTTGAGGCCGTGCGTAGCGATGGACGCTCGGCGGCAGGAGGTTCGCGTGAGAAGAGCCAGACGGGTTAGTGTGGACGCGTAGACGTGTGTGCTTTGGACGCAGCAGCTCGGGATACGACAAATTCCTACCGCCTCGGTCTCACCGCAGTTCTTTGTGGCAGGCTAGGTGCGCTTTCGAGCCCACATGAATTCTTGCTGGCGAGACGTCACGGGGACAGACCCAGATGCTGTGGGTTAACCGTACTGGGATGACCGGTGTCGGCACCGCCTGCGCTTCCTCCCTGTGCCAACCCGCTGTGCTCTAGCCGCCCGGGACTCCACAAGCTTCTCGTCCATGTGGCTTGGCAAAGTGATGCAGAATAAAGCCAGGAACCGTCCCTGGCTCAGGGGGGGCGGCGACTTCTTTCGCACTTTCTGAGGCCGTGCCATTCCTAACGGGGTCAGCTCCTGATTAAACGAATCAGTTGGTGATTATTCTTTGGGTCTTTCGGTAAAGTCACGTTGGGTAGGTTCAAAGAAAATGGCAAACTATGACGTCTCGGTCGCAATGCAAGCGGCCGTCATCCTTTTGACGACCGCTCATTGTGTTGCCATCGGAATGTCGTCGTTTTTTGTTATTTTCTTTGAACCTATCTACGTGACTTTACCGAAAGACCCAAAGAACATGAATTCCTGCAGCCACGAAAGCTTTAAGTCAATATTTGGTGACTACTGCGTTTGCAGTGGTGCCGAAGCACAAACAACAACAACAATTTCACACAATCGTCGCGAACAATGTGTGTTCCTTGAAAAGTTAAAACAATTTTCAATAGGCAATGTTGCAAGCAATGCACAATGGTCCTTCTTCAAAGCACAAGTATTGTTTGGGCTCATACAGTCGGCGGTGGGGTGGTGGGGGAATTACCTCCTCATGCAAGGCGTGGTGCCGTGAGTCAAACATTGATTTGAGATGTTGGGCCCGGGTCAGTCAAACTCGTCCAGCCACAGCAGCTGCGTGATCCGCAGTCCTGAGCCTCGCCCATTTCCCCTCGGCATCAGGAGAGGGGTGAGGCGAGGGGGCGATGCGGCGGTGGGGGGGGGGGGGGATGCCGACCCCAGCTGCAAGTGATTATTGAAATTTTCCCTTGTAACTTTCAACAGCTGAGATCAGGCGATGGTGGAGATTGTGGCACATCGTGTGACGCTACGACATTTAAATTCAGGGTCAAGTTGGGTCTAGTCAAGGCCATAATTATAATATATATTGGGGGGGACATATCCCCCCCAATAATCAAATATGCTTAAAATGCCCCCCCCCCCCAATATATGGCAATAAAATATGTATTTAAAATAAGAATTGCGATGCTATGTAAATAAAAACAACAATTTGCTAAATCTTGGCCACAATATCTGGACTTGTCTTCATATAAAAATGCATAATTTTCTGTTTATATGATTGTGGTTATGGTTGTACTTTATTAATCCATAATCTCTGCCATTACATACAATGAAACAAGAAAAGTTAAAAAAGTGAAAACAGAGCAATGTAATACAATATACACTATTAGACATTATTGTAATAAATAAATAAAAAGTCCATCCCCATGTGTTAGTGAATGTTTTAATATTTTAGGCAGGAAATTAGTTTTCAAATTTAGATTTTTTCTGGGGGGGGGGGGACCCTCAGACCCCCTGGAAGATTTGGTCCCCCCCAATGTTGACTCCATGGCTACGGCCTGGGTCAAGTTGCCCATTGTATTTATTTACTTCTAATTGTTAACCACGCGAGAAGCTAGAAACGTTTCATGCCACGTATACATGAACGGGCCAGGAAGTAGAGTTGACGGAATTTGAACCTTGGATTTTTCAAATCCTTCTCCCCGATTTATTTTAAAACGTTTCTGCGCCAAAACGTAAGAACGTTGGCACCCGGTCTGCCATGAAAAAGGAAAACACTGAGCGGGAACAGCAGTGGCAGTGTGCAGTGACGGGGCCCCTGCGTGCCTACATGGCCGTACGACGAGAGGGCCCTTCCTGGCAGGTCGGGGCAGTATATTTGACCGTGCTTCACCACGCTGGTCGGCGCTGGGGATTTGGCCGGGTGGAATTAATGGACGTTGCGAGCTTGCGAGTGCAGCTCCACGCTGCCTCTCGCTGCACTGGCACCCCGCTGACTGTGACACGCAGACCCAGCTGCCAGCTGCCGTGGCGGCGACGCGGATTTTCGTGGTGGCCGCCCATCTGAGCGCCATCCGGCCTCAACTCCGCTCAGCGCTCTTGAGATCTGATGACATCGGGGGGGGGGGGGGGGGGAGGGGATGCGCACGTTCCTGGTCTCTCGGTCATCTGGACCAAAGTTTTGGGGAAATGTATTCGCGTTCTGCACGATGCTCGTGTTATACGCGCACCTTAGCTGCACCTTTGTCAGGTGGCCTGGCATCTATTTGTTGAGGATTAATGCCACTCCGTCATGTTTTCGCACACAAAACACGCACACACGCAGAGAATAGAATTCACCGCATCGCTGTTTGTAAGACGTCTGGGCTAGGTAGGTGCTGTTAGCGAGCGCCTGCTATGATCAGCGCGGAGGCAGCACGCCCGGTGGTTGCCTTTGGCCTGTCCCAGTGCTCATGTTAACACGCGTTTAGAAACACGTGTTATTTAGAGTATTGTATTTGGCTGCTATACATTACCGCGTTATAAGCCACCTCGTTAGGCGATCATTCGAGGCCAGGTCTCTTCTGCAGAAAGAGCTACAGAGCTCG